TATACGCATCAAGGTACGCACGTTAAATGTGGCTAGTTTGAATGGGCATCGAGGACGAAGAAGAGCTTCAACTGGTGGAGGGAGATTCGGCGAGACTTGGACGCGAGAGAAAAAGGACGGAATTTCCATCGGAGGCACAACTGGTAGTACGATTATCTGGAGATCTTGAAAATAATGGTAATGTTTGAGGGGGGCAAATGTGAGGCGGAGGAAAAGCTGGAAAAAAGGAAGACATGCACGGTGTAAAGGGTTTTTCCATGCGCGAGAACTGAAAGAACGAGTTATTGCTTAGGTTGAGGTTCATTGTTTGCATTGTTGGCTGTTGTACTACTCGCTCGCCCAGTCCAGAGTAGGCCTTGTTCGGGGATACACTCTAGCCTCTACGCAACCAAGCGCGAGCTACAAGGCAGCAGTATTGTTCCAGAGAAGCCGGTGACCGGTCGGTTGGTTCATTCGCCTTCTCTTGAAGAACTTGTCGGGTTGATGGAATTGAACAAGGGGCAATAGCCATATTCAGTGGCGGACCACACTCAGCACGTCACAGCACTGACATAAGATATATATATATATATATATTTCATAAGATATGTCATAAGACACATGCGGTGTTTTGTGTGGAGAACCCTTGCCAAGTGGTTAACCTACCACATCCTCGAGCACTACCGCTGATTGTCCGCGACGGCTTATTGAATGAGAATAAACCCACCTTATTCAAAGTTAGCCGCCAGTTAGCTGCCGTTCCCCTCTCCACCACCTCGGGACGCGCTCGATAGCATACAGCTCTACTCTTGCCGCTATTGACTCTATTCCTGTCCTTCCAACCGCCATCCCGTTTACAATTTCTCCTAAGAAAACCCATGGGTCTTCGCCTTTGGGCTTGTCTCCAACTCCGCCTTTTTCCCGACTTGATTCTTTAGTCCTTATCCTGTTCTCATGACCACTCCTTTTATGTCACTGCTTGATTTAGATGTTTGTGAACCGCGGGGTCCGAACCGTGCACCCCTCATAGTAATAAAAATATGTACCTCGGAGTTAGTTCCCATTCTACGCCATCTTTTCTGTTCTTTTCTTGATCACAAACATTTTCTCATTCCGTCGAAAAATGCCATTATATTCTGATTCCCACAACTGTCGTCCCATCACTGACTTCTGTTAGCGCTTATCTACTGCTAACTGCGTGCGCTTTTCGAAGGCGAAGATTTTTTGGATGACCATCAGTATGGATTTAATTCTTATTGTTCCATCGGCGGCCTACTGACTCTCGCCTCACATTCATGATAATTTGGTTTCATTCGAAATTTCCTGAGCCTTCGGCCGCGGATTTCTGCCATAGAAATTGCCCAAATTTAGATTGCACCCAACTCTCTTTTCTTGGCTGCTATGATTTTTCAGCAATTGAACCATCTTCATTTGACTTGATGAATTTATATCTCGGTGTTCCTCTAGGTTCCCCAATTGCGCCCACGCTCTTCCATCTATCAACAATCTTTAGTCCAAAACCTCTTATTTCATTATTTTTTTCGCCGACGATGTCACTCTCCGTTTTTCTCTTTCTTACCCCACAACCCTCGAGGTCCCTTCCAGTATTAGTCACAATTTCAGTGTCTCTTGCCTTCGATCCCGATCTCCGCATGGAGTTCTACCAACCATGTTTGTTCCATTGCTTCGAAAACGTCTCTTTTTCCAAACTGTCGTTAATATGCCCACTATTCTCAATTGATTTTTGACTCGCTCCTCCTTTCCAGAAGTTCTCTCCCCCCTGGGTTGGTTTATTTATTTATCCTCACTCGTCTCTCGCACTGCGTGTCAAGTCGATCACCCATACTGCTCCAGGTGCTTCTTTGCACCCATCCATCGCCTTTTGCACAAAGCTCACATTCGCCAGGCGCTCGAACACTGCAATCACATATGGAGTAGAGCTTCATATTCTGCTTTAATTTATTGACCATGTTCAACATGATGTCATCTGGCTGAACTTCAAATCTGCTGTCGCTTTCCCATCAGCATGCAATTTCGTTGTAATCTCTTTTCTACCGTAGCTATTTTTGCTTCTATTCTTTTGAAATCGTTTCATCGGTTTCCCTTCACTTGTTCTTTTCTTGACCATCTTGTTCTCAGGCAACCGGTCACCTTTATCAGGTTTCTGTCCCCAGATAACAGATTACTGTCTTCCTCTCCTGTTTTCCCCAGGACTACAAAATTGTTGAACACTCCTCATTTGGGCTATTACAACCACTCATAGTCTTACTCTTTTTAAAAACAAGACCAAAAAATTGATTCTCACCTTAATGTTTTCCCACATACGTTCCCTCCTAAAGTATGCCTTTGATGTTGGGGTTGACTCCTTTTGCTGAAAATCACTTAATTTGTAATAAACAGTAGAGTGGACTGAAACTGTCCTTAAGGGTATCTAAGCTAGCTTCTTCTCTCGCAGGATTGTGAACGCTTGAAGCTGACTGCTGGTTATGCTATTGTTATAAAAAACGTCATGTAGTTCAAGGCCTGACGAGGGGATTTTGGTTTCATTATCCGCTGATTGTATAACTATCACTGGAATCCAAATCCCGTTCCTGCACTAACAGTGTATCGATGGGTCTCACGCCTACCCCTGTCCCTCTCTTCTTTCTCTCACTTTTCTTATTATCAGGTGACATATGCAATCAATAGTATCAAAAATAGCGAAAGTTCCTAAATTTTACGATACCCAAATTAGTGATCTACACTTCAAGACAAAATTCGCACCACCGAAAACTGGCGAGTTGTAAAATATTTCCCCTTTCCGACAAACGCTTCCTATGTTTTGCCAATACTTGTGCTTCCTAATGAGTCACACTTGATTTGTCACCAGCGGATTCATTTGATTATGCGATTTTTTTGGCTTTCCCTTTACTTAGTATCTTGAACAAGAATTATTGACATTAGATATATTTGGTTTATTGGTGTTGCATCTTACCCATCTTTGCGGCTCAGAATGACCAGGAAGTTATCTATCATTCAGTAGCTCAGGGATTTTTGATATTAGCAGAACCAACATCCAAGCGAGTTGGTTGACAAAATCCTTCGATGTTTCGAGAGAAACAGTGCAACGTTTTTACCGAATGGAGAGTTAACAACAGGTCATATCGGGTATTCAATAGGAAAAATATCATCTCACAATCAAACCAAAATCCGATGTGTCTTAATTATCTTAACAGTAGATGCATGCACCTCTTGCTGGGGTCCACTACAAAAACCGAATCCACTGCAATTTTTCGAAGACACTATCGTCGTGTTGTCTCGGCAGCTTACCAGAGCAAGAGACTGCATAGCCGTCGTGTCTCGAGCTCCGTACCTAACTGAATAAATGAAGTTTTATATACTATAAAGTTGAGATTGATCCGAGGTGCAAGACTGTTGGGGTCTCGGTAATACAAGCTTGAGAAAAATGTAAAAGACTTGAGAGCAGTCTTTTGATTCTCAATTAGCACAATATTTGGGCAGAGCAGGGCACGGTTTGATGCCCTGTACGAAAAAAACTGAGCAGGTTTCCATATCTCTCCAAGATGCTAATTTCTGTACGGTTGATTTTAATGTACATACGGATGTCAAGTAGCACCATTCGACGCTACACGCTTCCTAAGATAACTGACAGAGTGGTTGCGACATCTGACCTCTCCGCTTCTCTTGATGTAAACCGACTTCCTGTATTTGAGCACCGATATTTTCGAAGCATTGTCACGTTACTACACTTCCTGTCCCACGTTCTTGCGTAGATTTCACTATATGGTGTTTAAGCACCACATTCTTCGACAGTAATCTCTTTTCTATCAGTAATATCAAACATTATTATTAATTCATCAGCAAATTTTTCCTGGGTGTCACAACTTCTTGTACAGTCTTAAATATACGTTCAATAGCATTTGTTGCCATTTTCCTGTTCCAGGCATCAAATTGCTCCTCGTCATTCACTAATCTCTCCTGTTATCGTTCTACTAGTACTTCACATGCAGTCTGCTCAACGTGGTCCGGCTGTGTTGCAGTTGAATGCTGCTCGCAAGCGTGATTCACATGTACAAAGTTTAAAAACTCGATTGCGAAAAAATATGAACGCTATTACTGAGAATTACGAACTGATTCTTTCTCGAGCAAAAGTAAGTCCGCATTTGTACGACAAATTTTTCAAAACCAGATACGTTCACCACCGCGTATTTATTCTCCTTTCGAACAAAACAACTACTGTCTCTCTCGTCTCATTTCCGTCTTCTCGAACAGGTAGACACGAATGAGAGCTCCGCGATCCTGGGTGCTTATGCTCAAGCGGAACAGGACACGTACGAGATGAGCGTACGGGCGGCAAATATTGTAAGTTGCTTCTTGTTATTTCCTTACAGATTTCACATCCCATCCTCATGTATATGATTGTGTAATGTGTATTCAGTGGATCATTTGACTCCGGGCAGAGATGCATGGCAGATAAAGAAGCAATAAAAGGCAAGATCAAGTGTTGTGAAACTCCATTATAATTTAAGTACTTTCTGAGGTCAAAGCGAGTGTTCCTTTCGATCTACTTACAAAGCTGATAGTTATCACAAACACATTTCGGATCAGGGTGATGGTGGTGATGGTCAAGTAGTTTAAACCACTTTCGTTGGTATACTTTGGGCCTTTAGGTTCGAGACTTTGATCGGCTCAACACGTTCCACCTTTGGGCTTCACTCCTACTATTGCTCATCACACTATGATATGTAATGTATGTTAGGAATAAAGTGACCACCGTCAACATTCATTCACGAACATTGAAAAGTAATTTGTGATGTTCCATTGCACCAGAACTTGAACGAACCGCTATTGAAGCAAGAATAACGTGAGATGAAGCAGGGTTCCATAGGTTCCAGTGAAATGTAGTGAAACAGTAGAACAAAGGGCGAAAGTTGCATTTGTTCGGTTGCAGATGGCGCAGTCTGGCTCCCGGTGTTCATATTCACCCTACTTAGTGAAAACAACAAGTGAACTCAATGTGCGCCAGTCACCGTTATGGTAAGCAGACTGATTACTGGAACAGCGTGAAGAGTCTGCTCCGCGAACTGTGGAGCCAGAAAGCATGAATGAGAATTTACTCAGGACAACGTGGACCATATAATGGGAATTCTGAAAAAGGGAGTGGTAAAGAATGCATTCTACCGAAAATCTACTAAATGGGTCTTTCCGTCAAGTCCACGGGCAAGCGTCAAACCGACAAATGTATTCAGCTCTCTCTCTCGTGCCGTCCACAGCTCCGTTCACCTCAAACAACGCTGAAAAGGTTCAATAATTTATTAGTCAGTAAACAGTGCTAATGCGTCATGAGTGCAATCAGTCTAGTGGATAACTGAGATTGCATGGTTTAAATAACAACAATGATTGTTGTGGTTGTGTTCTCCGGTTGAACTGCATCGTGAGTACTGAAAAGAGAGGACCTTCTTCAGTTCTCACGCTGCAGTTCAACCCGAGAACACAACCACAACAATCATTGTTGTCATTTAAACCCTGCAATCTCATTTATCCACTAGTATGCAATTACAGTTTCTGTTGCATCGAGACAATNCGGAGAACACAACCACAACAATCATTGTTGTCATTTAAACCCTGCAATCTCATTTATCCACTAGTATGCAATTACAGTTTCTGTTGCATCGAGACAATGCGTCATCAATATTGCTGGCATTTTCGTTTCACTATTTGCTTGATTGTTAATCTTATAGACGATTATGAAGCAGTTTTACACGTGCTGCCTGAACTCAGAGAAGTAACTGAGCACTTGATTGTTACTGTTATCATGATTATACTCCTCTGTGTCCTGACTGTGTTACATCAATCATAGTAAAAAACTTTATATTAAAAAACTCGGTCCATGATTTAGGTGAATTGTTTCCCCTGCCGAAGCAGGTGAATTATCTCAGGGAAACAAAACTAGAGCGTACGACTAGACAAAACCTGACCCGCAGTGTAACAGGGTTGTGTTGTACGTTGCCTCTTCTTGGTTGGTTTGGAATCAGGATTTTCAGCCAACTCCCGTAAGTGAACTGTTAGTGGTTCGCCGACCCAGTTATAGCCCTGAATATTGGCTTTTCGTCCTCTCACTTTGGTGGGAAAACCGCCACCACGAGAAGGCAGTAAGTAGGGCTTCCTCAGCAGAGACTATTTGAGACGTTTGGTCGTGTAGGAACATTCCGCGAGATGCAAGAAAAGGGTGATCAGCCCAAGATGCTCACCCCCCCCCCCG